CTTACCTCAGCGCCGAGGGGCGCGGCGGCACGGCCCGGCCCTGCCCGGCCCGGTTGGGACGCAGCCTGCGGGCGGGTGACGCCGGGGAGACGGACACGCACCGGCCGGCGGCAGAAGCGGCGGCGGCGGGAAGGGGCCGCGCCGGGCTCCCCCCGCAACACGCTTGCCAAGAAGAAAAGAGCGGACTCGAGCGAAATCCCTGTGTTTTGCCCTTAAATTATTTTTGTAACGGGAGCTTCTGCGTGTGTGTGTGTGTGCGCGCGCGTGTGTGTATGTGTGCGTGTGTCTTTTTCTACCTGGTTGTACTGGTGCGGGCGGTACACGCGTCGGAAAGTGTCCGCAGCCCCCCGTGCATGTGCGGGGCGGCCGAGCGCGCTCAACCTTTTATATCGATTTTTACAGCGTTTCTAAGAATAAAGCAGCCTTTGCAGACACTCGGGCTCCGTGTGGTGTGGCCGGGAGGGATGTGGGGGGCCCTGGGCAGGGATCCCTCTTCCCCTAGGAAAGTTAGGCAGCGCGAGGTATTCGTCCCCGGCTCTCCTGGCGGGGGTGCTCCACGCCCAGGTTTGAGCTAGCACTGGGTCCGAGCAGTTAAGGGCTGGAAGAGAAATTATGGAGTCCAAGCCCCCGCTCTGAGCAGGAATCCTGCTGAGCTCAAATGTCCCAGCTCGGTGTCGACCCACTCTCCTCCAGGTTGGGGACTGCCCCATCTCTTTGGGGGTCTGTGCCAGGTCCTTGGGCACGAGAGCATTTGTTTTGCTTTTTCCAAGCAGGACAAAGTGCTGACAGGGCTTGCTGAGTAGCTTGAAGGCTTCCCCACAGGAGGCAAAACCAGTACAAGTCACTTGTGCAGGTCTAACAGCTAGAAAATGCACCTTCCTCCACACATGTTCTGCAGTACAGGGGTTGAGTTTTTATTTACCATAAGCCAGCAGTTCAGCTACTTCCTAGAGGCAGCCTGCCAGAACTAGTTAACAGCAAGGACACGTCCTAGGGGGTGTCTATCAGCACATCACCCAAGTGAAAAACTCCTTCCCCCCACCCTGAAGCCCCCCTCCCCAAAAATATTGCAAAACTATATTTGTCTGTTCAAAGAGGATCTCAGAAATGTGCTCTGTGAAAAACAGATTGTTAGTTATTAGTTCAGGGATAGGATACATTCATTTTTGCCCAGCTATGTTTTATAGTGTTCTGTATGATGTGTGACACCACGCACAAGTGACCGTCACAATGCAGGTCTACTGACGGGGAGGTGGGCGAGGGAAGCAGAACTAGATCCAGAAATACAATGCATAAATTTAAGTCCTTTTAGGCCCCCATACTGGGAAGCCCACTTGTTAAGAACATGGCAGGTGTGGGTTTTATGCTACAAGCACCCTTGCCAAGCTGTAGTGCTTTCCTGTCCAAAACAGTTCTCGTCACAGCCTGCACACCTGGTAGCATGTGGCTGACTACCACTCACACACCTGGTCCACACAAATGGCCACTTGGTTTGCTATTCAGCAGTCACAGTACTACTTAATTATTTAGTGTGCAGAAACAGTTACCCTGTAACTGATCTAATATTATTTTGCTGGTAAATGTACCACATGCTGCACAAGTTTTGAAAAAAAAATCTGGTCTGCAGAGACCCACATGGTCCATCTAGCTTTACATCACATTTCAATCTGTAGATGCAAATGTTTATCTACTATTTTAGGCATGGTTACAACCTAAACTTCTTTCCATATTTACAGACAATGTAGCTATCAGAAAATACCGTTATGCTTCACCTGAACCAGTTCTTTATCCTTAAGACTAACCATATGTGTGATGAAACATTAACCTAATAGGAAATTAGTGGGCAGTTGCAACAGTAGTTTTATATTTAGAAAGGAGTTTAACTATAAGGGGCAACGTACCTTTGACACACCATCCAAAAGGTAACCAAGGATATTACAATTTCCTCACTTGTAATATTTAGTGCAGTGCAATTACAATTCAGAATTACAGCAGCTCCTTCCTAGCAGGAGTGCATAAGCCTTCTGGAAATAATTATTCAAGCCTCCAATTTGATAGAATGATGTTCATTGTTTATGCTAAAATAACTATTCTCAAAGAACATTTTTAAAGTATTTTCCTTGACACACAATACATACAGCATCACCTTAACATTCATTATACAAATATCAGCAGTAATTCTCTTTACAAACATCCAGGCCTCCAAAACAAGACTTTTTAGGTTTACAAAGAATAGAACACTGCAAAAAGATATTCTTCAGTTCCAGACATCAGAAGTGCTAGGCAGATAAATGTTCAAAAAACTGAACTGTATTCACTTCCAGCAATAAGGCATTTTGTAAATCACAGTTTTATTAAACTACCTTAATACTTATCATGCTTGCATTATTATCTATGCTAATAGTTAACAAATAACCACATGACAAAGTCCATAGATATTATAATAGCTGACAAGGTTCAGTTCAATTTCTTCCTGGTTCTAGAAGGACAATTTCTTCCAATCTGATACAGCTAGGGTGATTGGTCACAGTCTGGACATAGCAGCACAATAACCCCACCTCCTTTCCCAGCACTCTCTTCACCTCATAACTCTGTAGCGATAAAGGCATGTTGATTAAACAAACAGTCCTGTACATTCTGTTCTAGGCAACATACAACTCAAAGATACAGAGTGTAAGGTCCTCTTCCAGTATACATTTTTTTTAACTGCTCAAAAAAAAAAAAACAAAAAAAAAACCGTCTACAGAACAGTTATGAAGAATGTATTTTAACTACTAACCCCCCGCCCAGATTTTCAGTTATTTGAGAAATCAAGTAAGTTGCTTCCTAACCATCAGTCCTAACTAGAATTTTATCATCACACTGTCAGGCCCTTAAAAATGCACTAGGTGTAAAAGTCGCTGCAATTTAGGACCTCACAATATAACCAAAATTTGCTTATTTCTCTCTCAGACTTTAATGATTTTGCATGTGACAGAGAAGTGTGTGTAAGTATATACCTGTGGCAAGAATCATTTAAAATATAGCTTAGAAACTATTTAAACCTTTTTTTTAACTTAATATCTTTATACTGCGTTGTTATATACAGAAATAAAGTGATATGCATTAATACAGCTCCTTTTGGATTTCAATACAGTTTACCAGCACTAATTGTGCCACTTAATAGGTCTCTGAAGTGAAGTAGTCCTATCTCCATTTTAGAGTGTAGCAGACTGAAGTTTAAAGGTTAGGTAAGTTGTCCAAGGTTACAGCATGCTAATAGCAAAGCTTATAATAGAACACAGCTGTACTGACTCTTTCTGCCCTGCTTGAGGGCTCATTTCAAAGCGTTAGTAACACTGGCAAAAATACTATTTTGGATATTTCTCATGCTTCATCTTTGACAAGATGTGTTTGTGCTTTCTTTTTAAAATAATAATTTAGGAGTTAAAAAGATTAACAAATTTAATGAGAAAACTGGTCGCTGGATTTCAACTAGGAAAACCTGCAGAACAGCAAGTTTTCAAGCGCCATCCCTCAGGAAAACTGGACAATTTTATTAAGAGTTTCAGCATGAAAATTAGATATTTTTTTCCAAACAGCAGTAACTCAAAGGAGCTGTAATACATTTTGCTAAGCTTTCCAAACAAAAAAAAAAAAGCACAGAGAAAAATGTAAGTCAAATGACATTTTAATAAGCTTTAGAACAGGGTGTACTAGTACTGTATAAAATACTGGTTTTGTCTTTCAAAAGTTGCAGAAAGATAACTAGTCATTAAAAAAATCCCTCTTCTCTACACGTCGTGTCTGTTAGCTTACATGGAAGACACCACCTAGAACCGAAGACTGAGTAAGAACAGTTCACTGTAAGAACAGTTCAGAAAAGCTTTCCACCGCAAATGTTCACTATAGGTCAAATAAATCCAGTGCACTGAATAACTGAAAATTAAACATGCTAATTAAAATGCAAGACAAACAAATGGTGCTATACCATATTCCTGGTGTTATCTCAGACCAAGAAAGTAACCACTTGATGATTATGTATATTTGCCTTAAAATTCAAGATTACTTGCGTTTATGCATGTTTTATTTATTCAGAGTCCAACAAAATGTCTCAATCTATGATATATTTCACAGTGCTACCCCTTATGGTAGCTGCTATTATATAGAGCAATTGTGTTTTAAAGGTTTAATACCAGGCCTGGGAGACAAGACTCTTGAGTTCTACTGTAGTTTTGACACTGACTTCAACAGGCTACACCTCTGTGCCTCAATACAGCCACCATTTGCAAATACACATTTTTTTTCTTGAATGGTACGAAACTGCTTTATTCTTTCCTAAGCTTTCTTAAATACCCAAATATAAGAAAAAGTAGTCTTTATGGTCTGGTCCAGTGTCCTCATAGATAGTTCAGCATATCCATTGTTCAGTATGAAACTATGCCCCTAAACTAAACTCAATACAGTTTCAATTTCTGTATTTAGTGCAATACTATGTATACCTACCTCATCCTCACTGGAAGAGCACCTCAGGATAGAAGAAATTGTCTTCTGTAACAGCTGCAGTAAGAAGAGAGAGAGTACAAGGCAAAATTCCTATTTATACATAAGATTTACTTTCCACGTTAAAAATAATTACATCAAAATAGTAATGTCTAGTGTAAATTCATATCTTAAATATAGAATGATTTGTTCTTGATTTTATGAAACAACTGACTAGTGAAACTAAAGAAACTAAGGGTAACACAGGCAAAAGTCCTCAGGATAGGACTCCAAACGTGTATTTCTTTTAAGCCAAGTCAACTAAATGGTTCATTATTTCCTAATGGCCCAATCCAGTAAAGTGCTTTCATCAGAGTTGATAGTATTCGGCACTTCTTATAAAGCCTTGGCACTTTGTTGAGATCGTGCCCATGGGTGAATTCCAGTAGTGTTTAACCTGAATGAGGATTGCAGGACTAGTGTTTTAAACTTCAGTCCAATATCACATGAATTTTAGGTATTTTGTTTTTATGAAGACAATATTCTGAGTTTTGTTCTCAATCCTGTACACAAGATTGCAAATCAAACCTGTGTATAAGAATGCATAGCCTCCTTACACTTGATTACAATATATACCTTAATGTTCTAAGCTCAGTTCACATCATACCTTTACTTTTACCATACACTGAGGTCGGGATGGACAATGCAGAAAGACTTCAAGCTGCATTTTGAGAACTGGAGAAATTACAGCTTGGGAGCAGTGGCTGCAGTACAACATTTCCCTGAAATAAGACAATATAAATTATGAATGGAAAAAAGTTATCAACCCCTATATCAGGACGCAAAGGGATAAAGGGTACAAGGACTCTGCTAGTTGACTTAGACTGATGAAGCCTCCTTTGTGGAGACACTTCTTACACTTTACCAATTCTTTTGCTGGTATAGTTAAACACAGGTCCCTGAATGATGTACCTATACTCCAAAATGACTCTTTTGCCAGTATAAAAGACTCTTATCAGTATAATTTATTATTTACATAACAGAGTATTTGCTGGCACAGTGGAGTTGGCTAAGGGTTGTGATTTTTCACACTCCTAAACAACATGACTATATGGCAAAACCTTGTACTGTGGCTACTATGTCCTGATTTAGGCCATAATTTAGCAAAACACTCAGGCATACCCTTAATTTCAGTACACATTTAAGTCTCATTGACTTCAGTGGGAGTTGTACAGATGAATAAAATGAAGCCTATAGTTAAACACTTCTATGATTTGGGGTCTTGTCAGGTATAATTTATGTTACACTCCTAGGTAAACAATAATAAATCCCTTCCAGATACAAGGACTAATCCATTGGGAAACATACGCACACTCGCATGCATATGAACAGATATGAAAACAAGGCAATCTGTATTTTTGGTTTGTGGTTTTTCAGGGGAAATAAACAAAGCGCACACACTATGGTTTTCCACACTTCTAAAAAAAATGTTTCTTCTAATTTACAAATAGTCAAAGGGCTGAAATAATTGTGGATTAAAATAACCCTATTCTCACGCTTCTTCAAATGTTGCTAAAAGTATTACATCCCCATTTCTTTCCTTTATACACCCATTACCTGTTGTCTATCTGTTCAGGATCTGGCTGGGTAGTAAGTTAGAGGGGAGACTTCTTAAGAGCACGGTGGTGTGAGGATTGCCATTCCAACTGATGGAAGTCTGCTTGTGCCAATAAGGAACCAATGGCTCAGCATGCAGGTGCTCTTTACTTCTCCTCCATCTTTCCAAAACAATGTCTCCCTTACTTTTAGTCCTGAACAGTTCTGAGAAATAAGACTTTGCAGGTGTGACTTCTCTGTAGAGCAGAGGCGGGCAATCATTTTGAGCAGAGGGCCACTTACTAAGTTTTGGCAAGTCATCGAGGGCTGCATGACAGGCAGCCCAGGGCAGATAAATATTAATTTTCTACATTTTTAGGGGCTCCGCGGGCCGGATAGAATGGCCTGGCTTGCCGCATCCAGCCCATGGGCTGCATTTTCCCCACCCCTGTTGTAGAGGAACTGCTTAAGGTCCTTTCAGAAGGGCTTTTCAAAATGCTATTTAATTGGTATGATTCTTATCTCTCTTACTGGAGTACAATAGGAAGAATAATATCAAAGTTAGTAACTTTGCATCAGAAAAAAAACAGGAAGATAATTCTGAGATACAAGGTAACTATATATGTGACGTAAGGCATGTGTATATGACTTGCCTCCCCCACACATAACTCCAGATTTGCTCCAAAAAATAAGCCTCACTTAGGTGCACCACACACCTATTGTTGAGCCTATTAAACTCTTAAAAATAAGCTTATTAGGTGCACCACACACCAGCAATTAAGTAGATTAGACTGGTTGGAGCAGCTCTAAATGCATATGGCAAGGCTATGCTCAAGCTCTCTCATAGGGAGAGCCTGACAGAGGAAGACCGGGAGGGACCCCAGGTCAGCTCTGAGCCACTCCCATGCCACCTATTCTGCCTCACTGCCAGTCTCTGGGGAACAAGTGGGTGGGACAGGCCTTAGTGGCTTAGTTTGTTACCGATGGAATTGTGGTTAGGAGGTAAGCTGCACAGGTAGACACTAAGGCACCTGGTTTTATACATAGGGGGATACAAGAAACACCTATTTCAAACCACGCACAATCACTGTCTGTAAAGCCTGGCACATTCATTGAGAAGTGCTGGTGTGATATAGTGCAAAGTCTGTAAAAATGCAATCATTGCCATTTGACCCCTGCTTTTGTCTTCCTTGATAGGCTAATCTTATCTTGCTGGCTGAGTCAATTACATAGTTGCAGTTTTAGATCTTCCTCTGTCCTTACTTATAAGGAAGGGCGCAGGCATCAGCTGCACTGAAGGAAAAGGTGCATCAGATATATGGCTGTTCAGGCCAGACCTGCACTAAGGTACCTTGTACCTCAAGCAGCACAGTGGTGCTTACCGATCCCGTGGATAATACTCCAGTTTTCCATTGCCACATCTGTTACACGTGGGCCAGGAGAAAGCAGCGCCCTCATTAACTCCGGTGATAGTGCCTAAACAGAAAATACATTCTTACAAAGGTATACTAGACTGATGATGAATACAGTCACTTATAACTTCTTGGTACAAATCTAGCTTGATCCTTGCAGATGATCATCATAAAAAATATCTTCTTCTATTCCATTTCTTTCAGCAGACACTGTTTTTTTCCAAATATCAACCAATATCAGGAGACAAAACCAAAGTACAAATTGACCATGCAAACATGACATCTTGATTATGCCAAGTTGCATCACAACTTTAAACACATTAAAAGAAAGATGTTTCAAAATGAAATTCTAGGCAGATTCCCACCTTTTGCAGGATATTTTGTTTTCGATTTTGGCCCTTTGCTGTTTCTGTGACAAATGCATGATGTCTAAAGCGACTGGATCAGGAAGTTCCATGCCCATATATAGGCTAAAAAATTATCAGTGGATACATAATGGACTTTTAAAAGCAGTTAAACAGTTTTAGAAGCAAAGATGAATTTGATGATTAGTGGGGGTACTGCTGTATGTTGATGCAACAAAAATCAAAATATGGCCCAGAGGCTGAAATGCAGCATCAGGAAAGAACTGTTACTGATCTCTGTACCATGATTCAGGAATCCCTACTCTGGCAAGTAAAATAAACAAAATGAATCAGGAATTTTTGAGAAGCCTGAAAAGCGATTTATGAAGAATGATGTCCTGGGAACTGGAATGGATAATGGGGGTAACACTTTGTGTCCATGCATATTGTCAAATGGCGTGATCTGGAACACCCACAAAGAGGGCACTCTGGTAAACAAACCTGTAGCTAATCTGAATCTCTCAGTTTTTCATTACGCCTAATATAGTAAAAAAATAATAGAGAGGAAGGAGGGCAGTTGCTAGCTTACAGGAGGACAACGTTATTATTTCCCTTTTGTAAACACATTACAGAAAGAGAAAGCTGGTTATGACACATCATCCTTCCCTCAAACCCATATGGAAAATCCTCAAAAGATTGCAACCCAGACTAGCAAGAGATCCTATTCCTAAAGAGATCTTCCCAGAACCACCCATCCTAGCCTTCAAACAAGCACCAAAACTCACTAACCTCATCACCAGAACCAAACTTCCTCAGGCCCAGAACACACTGAATAAATCCAGACCATGCAATGACAAGAAATGCAAACCCTGCCAACACATCTCCACCACCCCCACAATTACTACACCCCACAACAGTGCCATCAGCATCCCTACATCTTACAGCTGCACCTCCAGAAATGTAATACATCTCATCCAAATGCCCTGACGGAAAATACTTTACGTAGGAGAGACCAAACAACAACTGTGCACCAGAATTAATGCACACCAGAAATCTATCAGTGGCAGGAATACACAATTACCTGTGGGGGCACATTTCTCACAAGAAAACCACTCTCTCTCCAATCTCTCAGTTCTAATCATGGACTAAATATAGACATTGGATTTATGACACCTTAATACCTGCCTGACATCTAACTCCCCAGATAACTCTCCACTATTCAACTGCTACGTTCAACCCCCTTTTCTCTCCCCACCTCACCCAGTCTGTCTCTCACCCAGTGACTCCTCAATTTACAACTTCACTGACTACCTGTCTTGCATGCAGCCCAGCGCAGCCTCTGGCTTCTTTACTATTCATTCCAGAGCGCACACCAACTGCAGAGACTTCCTCAGCCTGCCAAAGAGGTTTTAAACCCGAACGCTTGCTAAAAAATGTTTTTCCCAACTATTTAAGTTGGTCTAATAAAAGATATCAGTTTCACCCAAAGGACCTTGTCTGACTATATTGAGAAAAACTTTAAGAGTGATGTGAAGATATTAAAGGGCAACATGTATCAAATAAGAAGGAACCCTGAAGCCTGACACAGAGTGAGGTAAGTGGGTGTAATAAGTAGGAAAACAAATGTTATTGACTATATTTCTTAAAGTGCTGAGGTTATTTTTATTTATTTAGATCTATCCTGTGAGACCAAAGATCATGGAAAAAGGTGAGAACTAAGCCAAGTCAAAGACTAATCAAGTGGCAGCCACACCTATCCCAAATGTAAACTGATATGTAGAGTGAAAACTGGTTTTACTGCTACATACAAGTTGCCAAGATTTTCCTTAACTGGGTTTAGCTTTTAGACTTTGCCTCTGAGTTTTCTCCTTTGTAAGGAGACGGTAATGCAATTTAAGTTTTATTCCTGCCTTACTGTTCTTTGGGTTGCCACTATCATTGGTATGAAGAGACTGATATACACACATAATACCATTGCACAGTACCTGGAAAGCCGCTCTGATGAATAAGCTGATGCAAAAAGTGACAGAAAACTCCAATAAAAAGAGAAGATTGATTTTCTTTAACTACCACATTGATTAACATAATGGGGAGAAGGGGGCACCTGCCCTGTCAATGGATTATATTGAGGGATAGGGCAGGGCTGCCTAAATGTCACCATTTAGGCAGCTTCTTACTAGGATATCTGGAAGCAGTACACCTGGAGAGTGGCCTAAATGTCAAGTGTCAAAATCCAAACATGAGACCTGAATCACTTACTCGCAAAACTATTGTTAAGCAGCTAATCTACCCATACAGCCCATGTGGCATAGACTAGTAGAACTTTCTCAGATGAAAAATTGGCCCTCATTAGCAGAGATGAAGAAGTTTTGTGCAACAAAAATAATCAACATACATGCCCTTTCTGATCTGCAAGTAGAGAGCAGCAAAGAGATTCACAAAGGCTTTTTATTGCATAACGAAAGAACATTCTGATTTATTTTGACCTGATAAAGTCTTTGACTCTGAAGAAGGACCACTCCCTAGATACTAGCCTTTCACACATCTATTGAAGAGAAACAATACCATTTTAACTCTGAGCCAACATGATTAAAGACCAACACAAATATCTCACACAAACACAATGGATATTCATGGATTACAAAAAATTGGGAGAAGCAGGATCTCACCTAGAAGGGCTATAAAATATGCTTTAATAGTACATTAACAAAAAGGATTAATATATTTGTACAGTTAATACTTGCATAAGCGCAGACATATTTGCCAAGCTTATAGAAGGGAAGGTGTTTTTACCATGTCCCTCCTTTAAGTCTAGAATTAGAAGGTTAATCCAGTCACTGACCAGCAGTACCACCTGTGGCCTCTTTGTCCTCTCTCCACGTTAGCCATGGTCAGATGCTAAATAGATGTACCAGCTAATACAGAGTTCAACCTCCACTTATATTTTTAATGAATTAAAAAAATGCTTTGCAGTCAGTGTTTATCGGAAGATGTTCCACAAAATGCCTAGGAAATGTAACAGCTGCAGAGCCGGAAGGAGGAGTGGGAAGGAGCATCACAGTTTGAGGGCCCAGACGGAACAATGCCATCGGTTTGATGGCACCAGTTAAGAAGCCTCAGCTGGTAAGCACTAGAGCTAGATTCATAATAGCACTGAGAAAATGAAAAGACCGGAAATAGCATACACATACAATGCACATTAAAAAAAAAATCAATATGAATGATCTAAAGCAATCTAATAATCTATATGATCATCATCATCATCATCTAATGTAAGATAGATAGATACACCTTCATTAAACATTCCACCTTGTACCATCATATAAAGTTCTAGAATCTCATCTCTGCCCAACTTGCCAGAAGTACCTCTCCCACCTCCATAACTAACGAAAATTATAGTGGGGAGCGGGAGTTTACCTTTTGTATTAAAAACACTTATTGCCCATTATAATTACTTGCTTTAACTTGTAAAAGAACACAACGGTAGATTTAATTTTTCTCTAGATATAGATGAAGAGAGAAAGACGGTTTTGAGTTTATTCCACTGCATACAGAGTAGGCAGACTAAAGGACAGAAGAAACTGTGAGTGAAAATTTTTAGCATAATTTTTAAAGTGGCTGAAAGAGATAGTGATAACTTTTCAGAGAAATTTCATTAAAACAGGTGCCAATACTGATAGATAATCACCAAATCTTAGAAATAACTGCTTGTTACTATCTCTGTTCTTCATTAGGGGCAGTGCCAGAACTCAATATCTGTGAATAATATACTCATGTATTTTGCACCAATACCAGTGGCAAAGATTTTTACCCCCTGCAGCTTTACTGTAACAACAGAAGGGACAGTTTTACTAAGAGCCCTGAGTAATTTAAAACTGCCTTCCGAGAACATGGTTTTATATTGTAAAGGATTAGGTGAAGTGTTTTAAGCAAGCATTTGAAGGGTGCAACCCCAAGGAGAGGGATTAATTGTGTAAAGTGGTTCATGGGATATAACTAGCAATGACAGAATGAAATTAAGAAATAATTTTTTTCTTAAAAGTGAGAACTATTAGCCTGCAAAATAATCCCCCAAGGGAAGCTCTGTAACTTGAAACCCTCAGACTGGACAAAGCATTAGAAAATATATTTTAGGAATTATTTCTGCTCTGGTAGCAAATGGATTAAATTATTAAATAAAGCAATATCCAAAAGCAACCCGCTGGGAAGTAAGTATGGCCAGGTTATATTGTGGGACTCTGGTGGAACATTAAACTGTCCTATTTCAGTACAGCCCTAAAACATGCTAGTGCTGATCCCTGCCTCAAGTACACAGGCCCCAGCTGACACACTGGAAACAACTGTACCCCAGTGGGTGCTATACCCACTAATTAATAAAAATAAAGTTGGTGCCCAGGATGCTACCTGAAGGTAAGCTGGTATATGAACAAAAACAATGAAACAGAATGTGGACAGCAAACCACATTGTAGTGAGGACTCTATTTTATACAAAGCATTAATGACTGGGAACATTAGTGATCATATAGAACAGTGGGGGCCAACCTTTTTGGCAGGCATGCCACAAATCAGCTCCATACCCTTTCTGAGTGCCACTCCAATCCCTTTCCCTTACTCAATCTGCTGCTCTGCTTTCTGCACCCTGCCCTGTGGTTCTCTCCTGAACTGATGCTCTGCTTTCTGCTTCCTGCCCTATCTGTCACTGTGCTGTCTGTCTCCAACCTGATCTGCTGCTGCCTACTTACACACAGAGGCTGCCCGTACCACTTGTGGCACCCATGCTGCAGGTTGACCACCCATGACAGCTTGAATAGATAGTTGTGTGTGGGGAAAAAAAAAGACTTCAATCATATCTTAGCCACTTCTGCAACCAAAGGACAAATAGAGCTCAGAAAGAAATATAAAGCTGACTGTCTTTATAAAACAGCACAACACCTCATTTTTCTTTCTTTTGTACAAAGTTGTTTCATGAGACCAAAGAAACTATTTAAAATGAACACAGATAATTAGTAGTCTTCTATACACACCTCTTACGGTACAAATGGAATCAGCCTGCGTTGTAGAATCCAGCTCATCTAGTCCGACAGGGCCAGTCAGCTCACTGAGGTCAGCACCAGCAGCCAAACACAAAAGGGGCTTTTGTAATGAGAGAACGGTACGTTCAACACAAATAATCCTACCTGCCAACAAAGACATTCAATTCAGTACAGTAACAAGGAGAAAGGTGACCATGTTAATTGTCATGGCCAATAATGACAATGTTCTCTGCCAAGTCCTAAATGCATAGATGGATTCTATCAAATTTTCTCCATACTAAAATATTCCATTTTCAATTAACACACATTTCTGCTCCTCACGTAGAGAAGATTTTGCTACATCAGTTTTCTAAAAAGTGAGAATCAAACTCAGTTCAAAAAGTAGTGTTTCCAGTAAACACATTATATTATTTTTATTTATCTCTTATTTGGTCATGTACATTTATATATTCTCCTGGGGTTATTTCTGTCTATTTCAAATCCATTCAGAGGCTAGATACATTTCAATGTTTTACTCTGAAGCATGAGTTGCCCAAATTTTGGTATACTTTTCTGCCATATCTAATTTGCATAATATAAAAGATTTTGGCTTCTATGGGCAAAGGGATCGCAGGACTGTGCAACTTAGCAGCTGGGGGCTGCATATCCCAACCTAACCTTCAGCTCCATAGACACAGGTTCCTTTGCTGCTCTGAGCTGCACCAGCACCCACACCATGGACTTCTCCAGCACCGTGGACTGTGCCCATGCTCCTCTGTCCTGCCCACTGGGGTGGGGTAGAAAGCAGAACTTGGGAGTGGCTAGGTGGGACCCCAAGGGCTGCAAATTAATCCACTGCAGGCCACGTGCATCTCATGGACAACCAGTTGGACAGCTCTAGTTTAGAAGATGTGGTAACAGGACTCTAATATGTAAGGCAGCACCTCAAACCAAGTCTAGGCTGATAGCAACTGAAAGCCATTAATGTTTTTAAATGGAATGTGAAACATGTTTGATGGTCCTGCACCAGTTCTGGCTGACAATTATGTACATCACAAGACTATCACCACAATTACATTAACTAGCAACCCACATTCCATTTAAAAACATTAATGGCTTTCAGTCACTATCAGCCTAGACTCAGTCCTCTTTCCTGCCAAGGGCAGGGGGTCAGACACGATGATACATTGGGTCTCTTCCAACTTTATACTCTATGAATCTATGAAATGAGTGTCACAGCAAAGACCAGGGAAGACTGGGCGTGGAGGCGGAACCACCTCCTCATCCACATAAAATTGTCTGAGTAGAGGCTCACTGGTTTTGGGCCTTGCAAATGGCTACATATTGCTTCATCTTAGTCTTGTTCAGAGTCCTAGCAGACCACTCAGCTGTATTAGGCTGTGAAAAAAAGTCTCATTTGTGGCCGTTCTGATTAATTTGAGGCAAAACCTGAGACAAAAGAAGAGCAGAACAGGCCTTTACACATGTAGCCCCTCCCAAGTGCATTGCTGGTCCTCTACTACTAAGTGGCCAGAGCACACGCTCCTTGATCGGCTTGTCTCTGGAATGACTGGCAGTGAATTTGAATGAGTGGTGATTAACTACAAACCTACACAGCACTGGGCAGGGAGTGGGGAGAGTGTTAGCACATTTTATCTCGCATGCTTCATAGAGTGGGAAAATGGCCATTGTTGTGTCCTCCTGGAACAACTCTACACCCTTGAAGATTAGGATGCTCATCTGGCAACTCACTTTGCCTCAAAGGCTAGGGACAGAAGTTACACATAAACTGGTATAAGAGATCAGAAACTGGTTCAAATCTGTAACACAACAGAAGTTCAGTACACATACACATTTCAAAATGACCAAAACTGGTTTAAGATAAACCTGGATGGATGTAGTATCAGGATTAACTGATTTAAGTGAAATTGGTTTATTGAACTTCTGTCCCAGATCCCTTCCAGATTCAAGTTAACTCTCAGTCCCCCAGCATCCCAGGATGCTTTGCACCTCCACCACAATCCACCCTCGCAGGGTGGGTGTGCTAGCCTTTGCCCAAACTGTCTGCTCCAACTAAGCAGGGAGGCGTGCTTTAGTGCATGAGCCACTGCAGGCATGTGGCTGCATTTCCAGAATCAAAAGCGAATGTCTGTTCACTTGTTGATCAGTTCAATCTACGCAGCTTAGACTAACCTGCAAAGACTGAATCAATTCAGCCTTGGGCTTTTTGACTGTCTGTACTTAGCCAAACTGCCATGAGAAAAAAGGTTACCATTTCCTTGCAGTGCATCCTTGAAGAAGAGTATGTGGTGGGATGTGCTGGTTAGTGCATCCATCACTTCTTTATCAAGAACACAGGAGGCAGTGACAGAGACAGGTACAGTCTTAGGAAGCTTACAACTCTCCTCCACTCCAGTCTGCAGCGTGGGGTCAGTCACAAACAACCAAAACTCCCTTTGAGTCGCAGGAACATTATATTTTACCTGGGTTTCCTAAAGAAAGAGCACAATAATTTTACTGACTGTGAAAACACTTTGATTAAACTAATAGAAGAGCTGAAATTTGAAGCAGTAATTTCTCCTTAAAGAAAACAAACAAGCAAACAAACAAAAAATCCACTTAGATCATGAAGTTTTAAGCTCCCACAGGGAGACAGCTTGAAGTTACATCAGAATTAGTCAACATGTGCTAAGTGACCCCAAATTTTCCTTAGCATAGTGAAGGTAATATCTTTTATTTTAACTGGCTGAGTGAGGTGGACACGGTGAGAAATCTGGGGCTTACGCCTTAACCAGCTAGCATGTGTTACAATACTGCATGCTGGGCTTTACCAGAGGCTTCAAGCATATTCTGTATTACGTGCCAACAAGCAACATCTTGAATGTTTTTTTGCTTGTCTGAACTAAGCCTTCCATGGGCTCTGTCTTTAAAAAAAAAGTCTCACAATGACATTATTTCTGCTTAAGCAAATTAAGGAAGTTTTGCTACCAAGCCTTCTCACTTGCAGTTCTCTGGCTCACAGCTGCTACTGATTAGAAAGCTGGACATTTTTCTTTCTAATGAACAAAAAGAATCCCTAATTTTGAAGGTTTCAAAGAATTACGAAAACAGATGATTCATAAGAGAGAAACAAAAGAATCCACCCTGACTACTTCAGTCCTCTGCCTGCTTAGGACAAGAAGAAAGATCTATTATGTCTCAAAACAAGTGACGTCACTCTAAATACCTACAGTTCATGTCAGACTTCACAGTTCAAAATGTAACTAGCAACTGATTGGTAGCATTTTAAATATTCATATGATCATGATAAACAAGATACTATGGTGATGGATACTATGAAAATAGATCATAGTATCATAGAAGTAGGGTCAGAAGGGACCTTGT